GGCTCGATGCTTGTCGCGTTGAACTTCTCTGCATCAGGCTCTTGTCTATGAGCGTTGTACGGCCAACGCGCTTCATATGTACCTAGCGGCTGATTCGAGCTTCGATCACAAATCGTATCGGCTCTGTCGGCTTCATCGTTCACCAAAGGGCCGGCTCTGCACCACGCTTTGTACGCGGTCCAAGGTCGTGGCGAGGATGGCAGACAAGCTCCGTTATAGAGCCACCGGTCGCCGCGAACCCTCTCAAATCGGCTTGTTTTCGACTTCGAGAGGCATTTACTAAAAAGTCGGTCGTTCTTCTCGCCGGGTTCCTCCGTCGTCGGTCGTCGCGCCGTCCGCCCGCCCGCTGCCCGGCAGCGCGCTCGTTTGTTCTCGCGTTGCCTATCAGCCAGCATTCTCGCTTCCTCTGCCGGCTGTTGGGAAGGCTCGTGCACCCAGATTTGCTGTAACGATCCGGCCGATTGAGATCGTTCACTTCAGGGAAGGCTATTGCGCACAGAGACCAGGCGTCGCGCGGCTCGAGCCGCAGACTCCATCGTGAAGCTAGACACAACGTCGTCAAAGTCAACCAGCAACTTATTCTCTAGATTCGGGCTCAATAAGTCCTTACCATCGGTCCGACGAATTGCTGTTCACTGCGCGCCACGGGATCGATATTCGCGGTATTGAGCTCTCCGTATCGGGTGTCATTGGTAACACGAAACGAAAAAGGATCTCTCGCTCGTTTTTCGAAGAAGTTTGAAAGTGAACATTTCAACGCTAGTTTACCATTCGATCCTGTGAAATCTCGCGGCCGCGCCGGATACGGGTGATCCGACATAGATAAGCGGAACGTGAAGCCAAAATCTGAATTCTAAAGACAGACTAGTCCTGAATGGGCGATCGCGATCACGAGAGAGAATCGATGATCCTGGAAGTCTCTGAACTCACTACTAGAATTGCGCTACCGATGCAGATGAGGGTAAGCGAAAATCTCAGCCTCTAGCATAGAAATCCCTGTCCATTCTCCTGCAATCATCCCAGGTTCTGTTAACTCTTCAGCTCGTCGCCGTCGTTCGCTCATCACCTTCCGCCTCCATTCCTCGATAATTTCGTCAGCTGTCGCAGTCGTGGCTCTCTCGCCACTAGAGACTTCGGCTCGATCGAAAAACCGGTTCCATGACCGGTGCATTGCGGAATCTAAGTGCAAGCGGATCAGAATATCGGATATGGCGAGCGACAAGATTGCGCGTTCTTATTACGAATTCATTCATGCGTAGTTACTCGAATGACAGCTGCATTCCACAAACCATCAGGACCGGGCACAGTTTGAGCCTGCGGCCTACTTCACTCGTGGACATAAAACCTTGGGCGAAGGCGCTTTCTGGGCTGCTCGACTTTAGGTTCGCGAGGGAGCGTCTTCACTCGTGGAAGCGACGCGGCGCGCACAGGCCAGATTTCGTAGACGAGCAGCTCTGACGTTCGATGTAAGGGCTTCACGAGGTTGTCAGCTTCAGTGAGAGGGTGGCTCCGCTGTCTTCGACTTCTCGTTTCGGAAAATGGGCGATCTGACGAGCTTGGAGGAGAGCGATGATCCGAGTTCAGACTCCTACCCGTATACACCGCGAGAGATTTATCGCCGGAGATGATCAGCATCCGATTCAGACCTGGATCCAGATCGGAAATTCGCGACCGAAAGACTCAAGTCTCCATCGATCTCCCGGATGACCTCGCGGAGAGAGTTCACTGGCGTGAGCTCGCAACGCTTTGAGGGAATCACCACATGCTGACTGCACCCGTGAAGGAAGCTCGATCAGGATGCATATCGAGGTATCGGAGAAATTCGCATCACCGCGGTTGCGGCGGGGACGGCTTCCAGGCCTCGGGAGTCGGGAGTCCAGGACAACCATTGTGGCTTCCACATCGTCGGAGTCTGTTCTCGCTTTCAATTTTGCATCCGCTCCTCTGTTTATACGAAAATTCCCCGACGAAACTACAAGCAGTAGAGAGTTTTTCCCAGAGTGGGTGGGTAGAATTTCTTCGGGGAGGGATTGCTCTCCGCGCGGAAGAGTAGATACTAAGTTCGAGATGCTTCCCGACCATCTGACCACTTTCACTCGCATAACTGAGTGCGCCCGTATAAATAATTGTGGGTACGATCTCTCACGACACGGGATAATTTGCCATGAATCGCGCATCTCGAGCTGAACGGCTTCTATCGGGAAGTCGGAGCTTCCCTTGTGTGAGCGCCTCCCCGACAAATGTTTGCATTGAACGATCACTCGGATGTTTTTCCAGTCACCCGACGACTTTCAATCATTATCATGGTGTTTCGATTTCGAACTTCTCATCTCCGGGCTCATTCGCGATGCCGTTTCGAGAAGATCAGCTTCCAGACCGCGTGTGACAGTCGATCCCTCGAGCCTGGCTAACTGGTTTTCCTCCGACGCGGATATTCAAAGACCCGTTTCTGATTTCTTAAGGCCGATGCGCACTTCGAGATGCACCCGAGAAGGACCGCTGACTTGCCTGCCTCTCCGGCTTGCTGGCGGCTCGACGGCTCACCGGCAAAGAGATGGACTGACGGACGGACAGATTCAAAGGCGCACGTCCTATTCGCCCTAAGGGCTGAGTAGCTACAACAATCGTATGCATTCATTTTCCCGCCGGTAAGGTGAATCCGCAAGTCCGAGACTGCCACGAAATCGTTTCGATCATAGGGGTGCCGACCGACTCCATTGGTTCTGAGTCATGCTCGATCTCCACATTTTCGTGACGTCCCGATCTCTGACAATTGATCAGAATTTGTGGAGATTTGATGGCTGCCTGTCCATATTCAACTGTTTGTCGAAAGTGGGTCAAAATTCTCGACAATACCGAAATCCTTTCTTAGCTACGCGTAGACTGGATGAAGCCTTAGGGACGGAAGCCTCTCTCCCCTATGGCAATGATCATCTGTCAGGCATTGCCGACCACGTGGTGGCGGCCGCGGTCTGCTCTGTGGCCTTGAGGAGAGAGCTGCGTAGATCCACCTGGAACGACAGCTTGGGAATCTTTTCGGAAACACTTCAAAATGTCCGGCGAGCGATACGCATAAATCCAGTTCGAGCCAAAAGTTTGGACTAAGTACCCGGCTAGCTAAACGGTGGAGCCTGTAGACTCGGACTGCCGTCAGTGAACATCACGCCGGTTAACACCTGCTCCTGTTCACTCATTGTCGTGGTTACCGGTCTCGAAGCCGCCGCCACTGCTGCTACGTCTACCGTTCGAGCGGATGTCCTCCGACCTTAGACGGATCACTTCCCTAGCGAAACGGACGGTGTCCATGGATCCAATTAGCCGGAAGGAGAGTAAACATTCTGCGGTGAAATGCAGACCGAATCCACATCTGAGTTTCTCGGCCAGATGAAGTTTCCTCATTGGCTGCAGTCCATCGATATGAATGTGGCGGTCATGTTTTCGGCGAGAGCCTCCCGCGACGGCTCGGGGTTGTGAGGGAGCACTCAGGGGAGCAATCATGGAGTTCCATGATTAGGATGAAATAATATAATATATTAATTGCGATAAGAATAAGCATGCGATAATTCGCATTCCGCACTAGGCCGCGACGCCAGAAACGTCCAACTTCGATTGCCCCCGATATCGAAACATTCGTGGACGTGCAACGAAGAGCGCGGTGTTTAGCAGTTGGTCCCTCTTGCTGGATGGAAGGGCCACGGCCGTCTAGAGCCGACGACGACGTGACAATGCTCACTCAAAGTGCTGACGAATACTCTTTCGAAGAGGGCGCGAAGCTGAAACTCACTCTCGTTCCTTAATCGTGTCAGATATCTGAACAAGCCAAGCGTATGCATTAGCAGTCTTCATTGCGAAAACACTGGGTCAATGCTCTTGTGGCTTCCCCGTCGGAGTAGTTCCGGAGAATAAGAACGGTGCGGCGTTACTGACTTAGGTCGGCCAGTGGAGTTCCCCATCGAGTTCCTCATTCATATCGCCTGTCTTCCGTGAAGCATCACGGGAAAGACTAGTTTTTGCAACCGACCGACGGTTCTGCACTTGATGATCCTAGATTCGACTCTTCTGACGCGCTGCGAGAATCGAATCTTTCGCGAAACGTCCGGGAGCATTCCATTTGATTGAATAGATGCCGGTCAGGCAACGACTGTCGCGATCGCGAGTACGCTAGGGACCTATTGAATATCAGCCTTTCCCCGTGAAACGACGACGTGACGAACCTAGAGCGGGTGTGTACTGAAGGCCTCACGCAAGGCCCACTTAATGGCCTCGAAGCTCGCGGGTCTTTTTCCGAGGCGACTTCAATCTCTATTTTTAAAGTCTCTTCCGGTCGTCGTCTGACCCTGTTATTGGTTTGAACAGCTAACATGATTGGAAGACCGATCGCCACCTCCCGATCCTATCATAGGTTCCAGAGGATTCATTGCGGAAGTGGGGCTGCTTGAAAATGCGAGGGCTCAGCTCGATCCGAAGCCTCACGGTCTCGATCCGAAGGGACGGCCAGCCAGAGAGTAAATTCATTGACGGGGAGTTCTTGAGCGAAAATCTCGTCGTGCGAATCGTTTAAATGTGCCAGAATTCCGATTCCGCCGGGGTCCGAAGAGTATAAACTCTCTTCACCCATCGGGGCATCTCGACTGATTGATGCTCCGACCCGTTATATGTATGAGAGTGCCCGACGCTCAGCCATTTTCCAATTCTATGTCGTGACGACGATGCTGAGCAGAAACTTTCCGTTGATCGCGAGTTGTTTTTCTGATGTGGAGTTGCTGCAACGTCACAACGTCTCGGGTTCGAACGCCGGAGAAGCGGCAGAACCCTTGGGGTGAAAGTACTGTGGGAGCGAATCAGAAGATCTTTTTTCTGGCTCTGGTGGAAGAGTGTTTTCGTCGTCGACGGATTCGCAGCAGCCCTGTGTTGTTATGAGTTCGATGGCCAGTGGCAAGGGACAAGCAGACGCTACGGCCGGCGCTTGCCTATATAAAACCACGTAGCTTGTCGGCATCACCAGCAGTCGTCTCTGCGACCCGGAGTGTCTTGAAGCAGCGCGCAGTTTACCGAAAAACTTGAATCTGTCTCGAGTTGGAACGACTTAGGCCTCCAGAAACTCACTTAAATGATCAACTATTTTTTCCGTCACCATGGGTTCGGAGGTTATGTGGAACCAAAGGCATCTCTCGGAGATTCTCCAATCGTGAGTTTCCCCAAACTTATTACGCAGTCATGCTCGGCTCGCGCTCTCGACTCTCGACTCAAAGTGAATCAATGATCAGCTGGCACGTAAATAGAGGAATCAGATTCGGCTCGCGAGCGGATTCGGTGCTGGCATCCGGGCTTGGAGTTATAAAAGGCCAGTTCAGATCCGTGCCTGGAAACGAAAATTAGCTGAAATCGAGCTCGATGAAGAATACCGCAGATGAGCGAAAAAATGTCCCGACCCACAACAACTTATTTAAACCAACGATGACGATTGCTCTCATTTCGCTGATCCCGCTCGGGAATCTCCGTCAGGTCGGCTGCGAGTAATGAGGTCGAAAGGAGGAAATCGTCGCGATTCGCAGCCACCGGCGCGTAGGTCCGCGCGTGATACGGTAGTAACTTCTCCGAATCAGAGGTCCGTCTCCACTGGACCGCTGCTGGTATAATAAGCTGCCAAGTGGGTCGCTACCTTAGGATCGCTGAGTAGATCACTGACGACAGTCCGACGAGACACTTTCCTTGCGGTCACCATCAGCACGCTCCTCTAGAATCGGATCGACTTCTGAGGCGCCGATGGACAATTACCACGTTTCGTCAATGATCCAGGTAGCGCCTATTGTCCACGCGAAGTTTGTCGTCCTCGTTCCTGCTGTGCTCCATACCTGGCGGGCCGCGAAGCTCTAGGAGACCGTCTTACTGTTACCGAAAACAAATCTCGATTCGATGAGGAGACTTGCTTTCTAGGAGTCGTGGTGGGAACACGGCAAGAAAGCTTATGATTCGGTCAATTTCCATAATCGTGCCGGGACGCGTCCGAAAGCCGCAAAGCTCCGGGATTATCCGCATTGCGCTCTTCATTTGAATCTAGTATACAATCTGGTTTTGAATATTGTACGTACCCGACAGATCGCGTTTCCTAAAAGGAATCTTCCATTTTGTTTCCAGGGGAGTGGAAAGCTATCTGTTGGCAGAAGTAAGTCTGTCTGTCCTGGGACAGAGAATGGTCGTCAACGTAGAGCCAGACGAAGACGATTGGAATTGCCTTCATCCTCTTGATCCAATCGACATCGTGAAAAATAACAGCTCAGAGTTCGATGATGGTGAGCTATTCGAACTTATCGATATAGTTGTCCTACTCCAGAAGTCACAAATTTCCGTGCTTCAAGTCTCGTTCAGGCTCCCGAGTTCAGACTATTGAGCGTTGAAATGCTTGCTCAACAAGCTATAGGAGTTTCTGCTCATGTCGAAGATTGTAGAGTATATATGACTCACTACGATTATATAAATGAAGAATGCTCCCTCTCGGTTTGATTTGCGGCTGCATCGGGCACCAAAACTGAGTCTCAGGTTCCAAATTCCAGGAAAGCCAGACAAGCAGCCGAAAGATTCGCGGATCTTTTCCGTCGCGATGGACATTCCTCGCAAGCGGAAAAAGGACAAGGATACCGAATCGATATCATCTCTATCTTCACCCTCATCGGTTTTGCAGCGCTGGCGCCAGGCGGCCAAGAAGGTCCTCTGCATGGAGGATCCGTTCGGCTCGTTCCATCTCGAAAAATGCGAGACCGAGAAGGTTCTCCGTATGCGTTACAACCCTCTCAAAAGAGAATGGGTGAAAGACGAAATTCTGGTGAAGATGTCACGTGAGCCATTCGGTCGCGGCGCGATGCGGGAGTGTTACCGTGTCAAGCGCGTGCGTCCCTCACATTTCCACCATACAGTCTCCACGAATTACGTCGCCAAGCGTTACATCAACCCGGTCGATCACTCCGTCTACACGGAAGATGTGAAGCTGCAGATGTGCGCTAAGATCTGGGGGGAGGAATTCAACAGACACAACCCTCCCAAGAAAGTCGATTTCTGTCAGATGAGCGTCATTCAATTCGTCGATAGACCCGACAAACCCTACTACCACCTCGAGCATTTCATCGAAGGCAAATACATAAAGTACAACTCGAACTCCGGCTTCATCCAATGTGAGAACGCTCGTTTCACGCCGCAGGCATTTTCGCATTTCACATTCGAGAAATCAGCTCATCAGATGATTGTCGTCGACATACAAGGCGTCGGCGATCTCTACACCGATCCGCAGATCCACTCGTTCGACGGTCTCGGTTTCAACGAAGGCAACCTTGGAGTGAAGGGAATGTCTCTCTTCTTCCAATCACATGTCTGCAACCCAATCTGTCAGTCGTTGGGTTTGACGCTTTTCGACATGGACCAGAGCGAAATGTCCGTCCCAGAAGTGCAGAAGATGATGAGTGCGAAAACATGCGTGCGCTCCAATTCGAGGAACAGCAACTCATCGATTGGCGCAGATTCGCCGCTGCACCCCAGCTGCCTAGAGAACCTGATCAAGCCTCGGACTCGGACCTACAGTTCTCCGCCTGATTTGCGGATGGCTCGGGCTCGTACGCTGAGCACGGCGTCGCGTCGCGGTCGCGAATCCCAGGGATCCCAGGGCTACGACTCGAAGACCCCGTCGCCGCCAGCGCACCCCGAGCTCCATCTGAAGTCATTCGATGGGCCCGAGTACGAGCGTTCCCTCAGTTCTGAAAGCGAGGACGCTCTCGATATCGACGTCGACTCGGTCATCGAGAGTCTAGGCTTTAGCGAGGAAGAGGAACTCCATCGTAGCTGCTCATCGACACGAAACGGTCGAATGCGTTGCGACTCGGAATGCAGCTTTCTCTTGGACGCAGATTTCGAAAAGCAGGAATTCCAGCGACAAATTGAGAAAAACGCGCGTCCTTCGAGCGTAGAGCTAGAGGTAGAGCTCCGGAAACTCGAGAATGCCATCGAGCCGAGTATTCTCGGCCAAATCCATCTCGAGCTCTGCCGTTACTATGAGAACGGGCGTTTCAGTCTCGAAGATGATCCTCTAACCTACAACAAAGAAGCCGCGCTGTTCCACCTCGATAAGGCGGCGCGATGCGGGAACCTCGAAGGCTTACAGACGTTGGCGAAAATGTACCAGGGCATCGGACATGATCTCCTGGAGTCAGTAGAGCTGCCCGAAGATCGCGAGAAAGCTATCGAGTATCTCGAAAGAGCAGCAGAAGCCGGCGACCGGGTATGCATAATCCAGCTAGCTAAGAATCTCGATGAAGCCCTCGACTGGGAGCACGCTGCCGAGTGGTACAGCAGAGCGATCGAGATGGACTTCGACGAGGGAGGTGAATACGACACTAACGGAATGCAGGATCCGATGTACAGCCTGCTGGCAAGGCTCGCCGCCATGTACGCACAAGGTGAGCCGTTTTCGAGTTAAAGTTGCGAGTCGAATCCAGTTTATCCGGAATCAGCTTCCCCTCCGGCTCATTTCCGTGTACATTACTATCAGATGTGGGATAGCCTATCAAATGGAGTCATCTTCTCTTCCAGGGGGCAACGGTCTACCCGAGGACAAAACTAAGGCCTACGAATACTATCAGCAGGCCGCCGAAGCGGCCATGGCAGCAACCAAAGGCCGTTTGGCAAATAAGTACTACGAGTTGGCGGAGTGTATTTAATGGAGAGAGTCTCGTCCATTTGATTCGGACGGGGCGGAAGAATACGATTGGAGCAGCAGAATCTTCTCGAACATCAGATCAACATACCATCTTTGAATCTAAGTGATCATGACGAGAAGGATAATGATTCTCGAGTCGCCCCAACGCACTTCCAGGATAATATTTACTGACATTTTTCATTATTATCCATCTTCACTCGATACTGATGGTGATGAGAACGACGGTGTTGGTGATGGGTCACGAAACTTGGAACGTGCTTAGAGTTCGAGAAGTGATCATTTATCTTGTCAAGTCTTGTGGCGCGACCTTCAAGACTGCGTCCCCTCCCTGATTTCAACCGGAGGTAGGTAGAGAGCTGTAATTTCTTCGTGTATTGCTCGATTCACTGATCAATACCGGAACTGGTTCGTAAGGCCATGGTTTCTACATCGTTGCGGTTGACTGGAACCTTTTAATCTTCAACATTAAGTTTTGCCAATAATATCTACCAAAGTGATAAAATGGCTTCGAGAAGAGCAAAGTATGATAATTAACCCACCGGATCCCTGAAATGAGGAGTAGGTGACAGTTTCGATGCTCCGCCAATATGAACTCGAAGTACCCGATCTCTTCAAGCCCAGAGGAGAATTTCGTAATCGAACTTGGGCTCGTCCAACGGTGGTGGAAAGCTCATTATCATCGGTGAATCGTCGAACCGAGTGAAGCACTCGGAACGTGAGATATCCTACGGCGCGCGCAAACTCGGCGCCCAAGACTTTTCTGTAAACGAACCTTCGTCTATAACTTATCATATCCATCTTCCAAATTCTTCGCGAGCACTCCGTAAAGTATTAGATTTGACAACATTCTTCCTTGATCCCTGATGATTCGATTCATTATTGTTCAGAAAAATGTGGATACTAGCTGTGCTAAGAGCGCTATCAACATGAGTGAGATACTATCGCAACATGATATTCATCTATATATGGAAGCAGAACAGTGATGGGTAGGGAGCTCTGATCTATGAGAACTGAGTTATACAAAATAATCTACGGAAGCCCAACTATTTTAACCATTCGTCGAGGCATTCTGCCCTCCGAGTTTTCGGACTCACCCACCAATTTTGATGGAGTGTCTTCGATGATGGTGTCGATGCACCTTCATTGGATGGTATCAAGGGCCTCATCATCGGGGAGGAATGATTTCTCGAAATGCTTCGGATTCCCGTGGTTTGTTTTCGGATGTCTCCAAGCAAAAGCTTTGCGATCATAGATCTCCGGAGCTTTCAGTGATCATTGATCATCGACATCGAATGTTTCAAGCAAGAGGCGATTTTATAAGACTTGCGTCATAATAAGGAGAGGTGTCATCTGATTTCATACTGTTTTTACCTCAAATAAAACGGCGCTGGGGCGCGAAACGACAGGTATCCGTGTTTTCCTTAGTTGCAGGGCACAGGCTGCAGTCTTTGGACTGAGTCCGAGAAACAAACCAGCCCATTCTCTCGTCCTCCTATTCGTGCGAAAAACAACCGTCTTCAAGCGATTGTGTGCGGGAGGTGCTCTCGTATAGTGCATCCCTAGCGATTGAGGAACTTTCATGCCGTCGACGGCACAAGCTGTTCGGAGGATTCCTATAGGACCATTATGCCTACCCCTTGATTCTGGGAGAAACTAATGGAACAACCATGCTCGAGGGGGTTCGGTCGGTCCTTCCACGTAGACTCGGTTGCCTGGCGCCGATTCGACCCGAAGGTCCGTGGAGGGTATAGACCGGGCGATCGAACGAATCAGTGCTAGTCCGGACACGAGAGGCCGCGAGGGATTCCAGACGAGAGTACCCTCCCAAAGATGCTCGTTCATCGAGTGGCATGTTTGTGAAAGTCTAGGTCGAGTCGAAGGTGTCCCTAATGATAGAAGCCCTGGTTTGCCCCTGATGATGGAGTCGAAAAGTCCTCCATAGTGTTTCTGTCTTGGTCGGAAGCGAACTGCAATCGTACTAGGAGTCGATCATAACTCATACAACTCGTTGAGCACTTTCGCTTCCGAGATGATGTCGAGGGGGCGTTCGTTATGCGAGCGAAGGTACGAGGTAATCTCCCGCACATCTGAGCCCTGTTGTTTCCTTCCGCCTGAGATGGCTTCCCCAACTTCTGGCTCATCTCGGGCTCTCACAAACTCGGGTTTTCAGACCTTAGGGATTCTGGCTTCCGCGATCGAGGTTTTCGCGATCGTGGCCATCTCCAGCAATAGCTCTTGCAGCAGTGGCGGCTGACGGTCAAGGAGGTCCTCTCTGCATGGAGGACCCGCTCAGCTCATTTCATCTCGAGGATCGCGAGACCGAGTGATTTTATTAGAGTTGCGTCTGCGTTCACGGAGATGTCGGTCGATTTCATAGTGTTTTCAACGAAATGGTCATGGCACTGGGGCGCAGAGAGACATAGACTCGAGCTCTCCGTGCTTACAGGCCTTCACTCAAATAACAAGTCTCTGCACTCGATCAAGAAAGGGACTAGCGGGATTTTCCGTCCTTTTTATTCGTGCTTACATCAACAGTCTTCTGGCGATAGTGTGAGAGAGCTGCTCTCGTTTGCTATTCTGTATCCTAGGCGATCGAAGAACTATTGTGCCAACGGCAGCTCAAGCTATTCAATGAATTCCCGTGAGACCCCATCTCCAGTGCGAATAACAATATGTAAATTCATTATCAGGTGTACTTATACCTATTGATTCCGGTGAAAAGAAACGGCTCATGGAGCAAAAAATCGAAGCGGAAAGTGTTACGCTTTGCGAAGCCATTTCGACCATAGGATTCCGTCGCACTTGCTCATCGTGAACCTCACTCTGACCGCACTACACGCTACGCTATGGCTGAGCGGTGAGTGAAGTTTCGTTCTATGCGGCTCGTTCTAAGGAGTGATCCTGATTGAATCATGGAATTTCCTCCCCTGAGTGATACACATGTGCTGAACACGGGCGACTGTGAATTAATGAGGATCGGCTTCTGCTGAGCTGAATCTTCGCTAGTCTTCAGCCTAGCGAAACCAGGAGTCTTTGCTGGAAAACGGAGAACGCTCAGTAATTGAATCGATTGCAACTTCCGTGGACGTGACTCCGTCGGACTCCGGGGCCTGGCTCACCTCGAAAGGGTCCAGAGCTGAGTTATTTTGCACAATGTCAGTCTCTCCACAGAATTCTCGGAAAACTAGATTGGTTCGCGGAAGCAGGTTGGCAAAGCTCTCGAGCAAGAAGTTCGAAGGAATCGTTGTTTGTCTATGGCAGTGGTTCTCAAACTTTTTCTTCAGAGGGGGGGGTTCCGTAGGGGTTCCGCGGAACCCAGTTTGAGAAACACTGGTCTATGGGATCGGTGAAGGAGGAGGTTTCGAGTGAATTTATTTCGTGACAGCACAAGGACTGTGTCGAATCCCGAAGCTGAAGCGTGGAGCGGAGGACTTATTCATGAATACCTGGAGCAGACATTCGTGCAATGAATAAAAGGTCACGTTACGTGGCCGGGTTCTCTCTTCTGAAAGCGTCGATGCGTGGAACTTCTTACCCTCTCAGGAGTGTATTGTCCAGGACCAGGCTTCTTGCTATTGTCGGAAGGAATGTTCGTTCTATAGCTGAGACTGTATGAAGGGCTCTTCTTCTTGTAGGCATCTGCCGGCGGCGGATTGTATTTTCCCGGGGCTGCAGAGGAGGCGTGTTGATTAAAGCCCAGTTGCTCGATTACCTGTCTCGCTTATTACCTCAAGCTTCCCATATATCTCCCCATGAACTAAAGGTCTTGAGAAAGAAGCCCAAAGATCGCTTTAGGTTTCATGAGGATTTTTCCTGAATTTTAACTCTTTCCGGAATGGATATCCCAATCCAAGGCTCCGAGAGGAGCAGTATCCGAACCGGGAGTCATGCCAGCACATCTCCGAGGTTAATTGAAACAGCGGGGGAGGCAGGGGGAGCAAGGAACCCGGAGGATGATGGCAAGGAATCAAAGTCCTCCGACAGGGCAACAGCAACATCTTAGGGCCGCTCCTCCCGAGAAATCGATCCGAGTCGTTCGACCATGCAGAGGTATTGGTGAAGCCACAGGGGACCCAGGGCGATTTGAGACGCGAGTGTCGGAATCGCCTTCCATCCGAGCAATGAAATCATTTACCAGGAACTCCGTTGGGTTTACAATCATCAATTTTCAATCCGAATGAGTAGGAAGGAGCGGCCTGGTTGAGTAGGGATTTTTCAGGAGCATATTGACCCGGGGCTGTGACAACAATAAATTGAGGTTTGTAATTTCTACTCGACAAGCTCCAAAGGGCCTCGTCGGGATCATCGTCCACCGACGATAGGAGATTGCCCTTTGGCACCGGACGCATTCCGCCGGCGATTCTGATCTGATTTGTCAGCCGGGTACCGTAGCCTGTGTTTGACGAATTGCATCGACCGTGTTCATCGTGTCTTGTGGTTTGTGATGCGGAAAGTGTGAACGATGTAGGATTATTCTTCTCGTGTCCTGTCGAGCTGTCACGCGTTCTAATCATCTTCTTGTGTTTTAAAGACTCTACATCTCAAGCAGGTGAAAGGTTCGATTCGCGGTGACGAGTGCTTTGATTGTTGTGCGGACCGTGCTCGATCAATAATTCAGCTCATACGGGTAAGAGTTGAAGAATCTTTCGTTGAAGATCACGTCAGGATCTGCGGTCTTTGAGCGGAACGAAAATCTCGGAGCACTCCTGTAAACCTGGGGGGTAGAGAGAACATTTTCTGATGAGATGCATTCAGCGAACAGAAATCGAAAACGAGGATCAGGCCTATCCGGATATCACTGGTTCCGTGCAAGCAGCTCCGAATAACTACCATTCCGTTGGCCTTGTCGGGAAGATAGTCACACGGAGCTGGATTCACACCTCTGACGCGAACGTCAGGGTGACGTACTCCAAAAGAGTACGCAGGCGACAGTGGACGCACCAGACAATCGGCTCTTTCAGGATGATATTCTCCAGGTGCAGGCGTCGAATCACGTATCCTTCTCAGACTGGGCCAACGCTCGAAACTCCCTGCGAAAGGTTAAGGAGATGGAAACGATTTTTCCCCGGTGTACTGGCATCGTGCATGAGCCGGAAGAGCATCCGGGACTACATACTGACTGACCGAAACTCGAAGAAGCAATTTTTTGGGAGTAGGATTTCGTCGGCAGTGCGTACGACTCGAATCTCGGAGGCATCCTGAGCGACTCGACAGACCGGCCGCGGCGATCCTCAAGCTCTCTATCTTTCGTTGTTTTGCTTGAAGGTCCAAAGCTCAAACTCCGACGTAAACTCGGCTGGGCTTTCTCAGATGCACGCGGAGCCCGATCGTCCCCCCCGACCCACGACAGCGGCCTAGAGACTGTAAACAGGTGGCTCATAGATCATCGTGGAGATGCTTCGAATAATTCGTGTTTGTTTCGGCCAATAATCATGGTCGAATAAATATCGTCAATATGGACTGAGCACAGAACGAACAAACAAACCTACTCCGGGTCGACGGCGGAGCAGCGGTAGAGGACGGATTTCGAGGGTGTTCGGAATAGTTCGAGGTCTTGATTGTGGCGGACTTGATCTCTTTCTTCTTCTGTCGCGGTTTGAGTGGCGACGTCCACGATGATCGAGCTGCCCGATCCTGATATTTCACCATGCCTTAGATACGGATATTCTCGACCGTGTATCCCCTTAAGGCTCTCTCTCGGAAACTGACCTTTGCCGCTGGTGTGTGCGCCTTGTTGTCGTCTTGAATCGGACCTTCCTCTGTGGCGTTTTTCTTCGACTCGAGAGATGTTCGTTTTTTCGAAGACTTCTCCGTCGTTTGTTTTCGCGGGACAGAAACAAACGAGGGAAACCAGGACTTTTTTGCTTCTGAAGAGAACAAATTCTACGCTAAGCCGTGACAGATCTGTTCGACACGAAGGGTACGGGAGGAAGCAACGAAACGACACAGGAGAAGAAAGCTTCGCGCAATCAACAATCTCCCCAGGCCCTCGGATCGTAGACAGGGCGATCAAGAATAAGCGTTCCCCGGCAGACTTCCAGCGACGGCCCTTGAAACTTGCCGCAATGAAACTCATTGCGTGGTGCGGAACCTATCAGCACGCTGACTCACCACTTCTCTTCTTCTTCACGGGTTCGTCCACAGGATCGTCGATAAATTTGAACCTTCGAGGAGGGTCCTCGTCGTTCCTCTTGAGATACCTTTATGACATAAGCATGGAATCGTGAAAGTGTTGCTGCTTTGTTGATCGAATAATCGTCTCCCGTCGGAGCTCGCGTCTCGATCGAAGTACCTGAGATGTCTTTTGGGCTCCAGCTTGTTAGAGAGGTTTGCAGCACGCGGTATTGTTCCGTAAATCGAAGGCTGATAATGCCCTGGTCCTGGCACGTTCTCTTTATCGTACGACTGCGGAGACATGGAGAGTGATTAACATATGTACATACATGATACACAAAGGCAAAATATACATAATATGTTCCTGAAGAACCTTTAGGGAGATCGTCATCCCCTCCACGGAGAGGAATCGATCCGTCGCAAGAAAAAACGCGGGTCGGCACCGCTCTCACCTCTTTTAGGTTCCGATTGCCTCTTATGGAGAACTTCGGGGGACTCGGATAGCGCTGCCTATCGGAAGTCTCAACGCGATAGGAGTTCGGCGGAGGATTGTCTGACGGTACTTCGTGTTTAGTTCTGGACCGGAAAGACCAACGCGGCGGACTCCGATACCGTAGGTTGTCGGCTTGCTCGATTCTGTATTCGTTTGGGGCTGTGGGGAATCTTCGGCTCGTATTGCAGCCGATACCGCTCACAAAAAATCTCGCATGAGTCTAGATGTAGAGGAAAAATCCATCTCTCGCTAGAGCCATAGAATTTCGTACGGTGATGTCGAATCGAAAGCGTGAACATAGGAAGGAAAACTTACCGGGAGGATAATCGTCCTCGTGATCTCTGTACCTCGAGCCGAATGAGTAGCGTGGCGGGCTCGCGTACCGTAAACTGTCGGCTCTTTCAGGCGCGTAATCCGCAGGACCTGAAAAGATGGATTTCTTCGTTTTGAAACATCATATCATAACGATTCGCAAACGGAATCGCACCCCGATGGAGCTGGGAGCATGTTGAAACTGGGAAGAATATCGTGAGAAGTCTCTTCCTACTATCGGAAGGAGATGGCGACTCGTCGAGAAACTCACTCGGATAATCCTCGTGACGAGGGCTGTGACTGCGACCGCGTATGGAAAATCCGGGCGTTCTGGAGTAGATCGCTCCGTCCCCTTTCTCTGGGTTATAATACGCGGGAGCTGCAATCGTCAGGTGAAGTCAGCTTTGATTCGTGTAGACGTTCGAGCTTCTCTTCTCGTGCGTGCCGGGACTTAAAGCTGCGCGATGGACATATAATCTCCACCCAATAAGACCCATCCATTCGATGAAGCGAGCAGGCAGCAAGGTATCGTGAGGATCCCCGAAGCAGCTTTGGGTAAGCCCAGAATACAAGCAGCCAAGCATTGCTTCCTAAGAAATTCTCGAATTATCCATTATTATTCGAAAAGCGAGAGATCCCACTGGTCATGAATAGAATAATGGAGCTGCGGGAGCGGAGAAGAACCTTTTTTCGATTAGCCGTACGCAGAATAATTTCTGTTGAACAAACCGTGGTGATTACGTCCATGCAGCGCATCGGCGCCAGCTGCGTTCGAGCAGAGCGCGCGCCGAAGCTAGTAACTTTGAAACACCGAGAACCAGCTCCAGCTTATTCGGAACCGTCACGACACGGTACCGATGGTCATTCTGCCGCGCGGCAACCTTCCCGTTCTTCGCGTACATCCAATATTTACAAAGGAAGCGCCATTTTCGATAACGCTGAGTTTGTCCTGCGACTCACCGAAGCCTCAAGGCACATTCAAGGATCCGGTGACTTAATGGTCACGACATTTGCACTTGCTGTCGCTTCGTCATATCAGGCATTCTCCAGGAGCCGATATCCTAAATATTAGTGGGGCTAGGAGTGACTTCGCTCGTCGACGGGTGTGATTGGGTGCGTTTTTCTTTTGTGAAAAGTGGTGGGGTGGAATAATTGTGGCGGAACGTGGGTGGTGCAAGAGCGGTGCGGGGAAAGGTGCTTGTGAAAAAATGTCGAAAGGCATTGGCGGCTACGATACCCGGTCCGTAGTCGTAGACGACTGAAGGCGCACGCTGCGAACTCCTCGTTGAGAGATTGCTGTGCTCTCTTGATAGACGTTGTCGTCCGGGACTCAAACAACTGGGCGGCATTTCCGTTGGAACTCTCCCCGGAGTTTTGAACAATTCCAGGCGAATGCAAAGCCGAGTTGATCACCTACCGGGAATGTCGTCGGGGTTGTGATCCTTGAACTTCGAGCCGAAGGTGTACCGAGGTGCCGCGAGGTGGGTCACAATGTCCGATTTGTCCGGGTTGTAAGCCCCTGGAGCCGGAGTCTTGAAGGGCTCGGGTTCCTGCATGCAGGAAGGAGAAGTTCTCAGAGGATCTCCGTCGAGAGCTCGCGATCAGAGTTTCAAGGCAACGCTTGCCAGGCGACGGTTTTCGTGGGTCTTCCCACTAACCTTGAGCTTAGCGGCGATCGTCGGCGCCGCGCAGAAATCCTTGCCCTTCTCAGAGAGCCCGGCTATGTTGTAGGTTCCAGGTCCGGGAACGGGATTTGGTCTCTTGTCGTCGATCCTGAAAGTATTTGAGTTGTTCTTTCATTTTGTTTGCTCCCTGGAATTCCCGGCAGATTCCCATAAACGAATTGTTTTGAGGCTCCGATTCACCATCGCGAGTCCCGTATACTTACTTCGAGCCGAAAGTGTAAGAAGGACTCTTGCCCTTGACAGCCTGGTTGGCGTTCTTCCCAATGGTCGTCGGCAAGTTGAAGGATCCCGGGCCTGGAGTTTGGAAATCGGACGCGATAGGTGCTCGCGGTTTCGTTGGCGTCCACTGACGCTGAGTCACGTAGTAGCCCGCAGACTCGGAGTTCTGCAACATACAGAATTATGACCTAAAATACCTTGAAACTCTCTTCAGAGGACACGAACTTCGATTTCCACTGCAAGCAACCAAAACTTAATTCAAAGGAGGCACCCAGAACCACGTAGAGAACCTATCGTACTCATCACTTATATTCGCAACTAAATACCCGCTCGAAGAATTGTGAAAAGAAAGAATTCGACCCTTTTCCATACTCGAAGATCTCATGAAATACTGATCAAATCTTTAAATCTTCAGTCCATCGTCCAGGGGTCTGCCGTTGTGATGAGACTCGGAACTGTTGACACGGGTGAGGCGCGACGTCGTGCCGGCATCGATATCGACACGATGGCAGAAACCTTTCGGTGAAGGCGACATCAAGCCTCGTTAATTCCGACGTTTCCGGTTTCGCAATCATCAACCTGGGCCTCTATGAATCAGACTGCCTCGTCCTCCCGATGCGGTCTCGACTCAAGAGGCTCCGACAAAGAGAGGGACTTAATCGAGGACCGGAATCCAGGCTCCCCATTCCTGGAGCCGCGCTTTCGGGCAAAGCATGGAAATTTTGATCCCGCAAAATGTCTTCGATTGAAGGCAGTAATGTTTTCGGACGCAGACAGTAACGTCTCGGGCGCGACTGATGAAGAGAAGTCACGGCCTGTATCACGATTGCCGAAGCAACATGTACCGGTCGGACGTCGTGAAGTTCAAATTTAGGAAGACTACACAAAGGATCCGATGTTGGCGTCTTCCTGGACTTTGGGAATCAGCTGTCGCGCAGCTGATCCATGAACATTTGAAAATCAGAACAATCGCGCCTTTTGGAATCGGCTCATAAGTTCACCGTGCAGTCACGCCCTCGGATCATATTACAGTAGGGCGAGATCGACGGACTTCGAAAATGCGGATAGCAATCAGTAGAAGCCTCCGTTCAAGCAGCATCTGCTCCGGCCTATCCTTCAGGAGAACTTCGCTGCTTGGGGACTGCTCATGTTCCCGGGTTCCAGCATATTTCGGAATCCGAGCGGGGAGCAATATTCATGTCAGCTCGTTCTCAGTATCGAGGGTCGAAGGTTTCCGAGTACTAGATCCGTCGATGATTGCTTACCTTCGGCAAGGAGCTTTCCAGATGACGTCAAGGAGTTCCAACTCGAAGCCTTGGTTAGCGAGGCGAGCACAGGAACCCAGACGAAGCTAGCAAATCGAAATTCCTTCCGGATGGATCCCGATAAGCACTCCGAACGAATAAATTATTCGACGACAACTCGCACGTATGCACGCAAAGCACGTTTGGTTCGTTAGCAAGCTATGGGGTCGTGTTCTTCGATGGCAGGTTCCACTTTTTTTCAATGAACTTATATCGGCTGCGAAGCAGGCGGGCGAGCAGGCAAGCCGGCGAGCGGGCTCACAACTTGGCTTGCTGGCGAGATGGTTCGCTTACGTCGGGGGTAACAATTTACGGCAAGATGCTCTCGCTCACATATGGATCGTTTCAACTGTCAGCTGAGTTTCGATACCGCGCGCACCTCGGTACTCCGTCGGTGAACAATGCCTTCAACGCTTTCGGATCCCACTGTGACGGCGTAGGCGCCACAGTATCGTTCCCTCGCCACCGACACCCACTGCTTGGCAGACAGGCAGGCAGGTAACGAGGCAAGAGCCTTCCGGACCGCAGGAATCCCTAAGCGACTTTAGGAGCCGAGACCTTCGGCTACCTTTCTGGGAATAATTTGTCATTTCTCTGTTCTCCACCTGAACGAAGTGCGTATCCACGCGATGTTTTCGGGTAGCTGGTTCTCTGCAACATGACCAACAGTTCACAGAACCCTCGCCGACATTGATTGCTGCCGGACGGACGATCCGCATGACGTTTTAGACATTTTGCCGCCACAAGGTCGTTCGTGTGAGGCGATATTGGTAGTGAAAATCATGACGACTGCTGTTTCGATTACCTGGTAGCAGGCCACTTGCCCCTTGCCGCCAACGGGGCTGCATGAATCATTTATGCCGTTTATGGTGCCGTCAATAAAGGATGCAGAACATGTTTTATGATTCGTTCAGCTGATTGAAGTACCATTACGTCGAGTGTAGCGAGGCGCAGCCGCTCTCGGTATTCTTGGGTAAAGAACTCGATCGAGGATCTCGATCCGAACAGAGCGAATTGAGCTCTTGAGCCTATCGAATCGATTGCCGTCCCCGCAAGAAGGAGAGTGTGGACGGGCCCTTGAAGCTCTTGCAGATGGGCAGAAACTTCATTCCATTGGTCAACCCCTCACGGCTTCCAAAGATCAGAATTCGTCACGCCACTCAAAGTTCGTTCCCCTACGTCCCAGGCGAACTCGGGGAGATCATGCCAGGGGATCGAGGAAGATTCATAGCGTCGCCGAAATTCTGGAGAAAGAAGCCAGGCTCGTCAGAGATCCTCTGGTACGATGCAAGTCTGGCTTTTCCAGTTCTAAGCCGGAGCGAAAGGAGCGGAAGATCATTCTCGATGCCGATCGATGCGACAGCTCGTCTTCTGATGGGCGATGGATTCAAATACGGATAAGAGTTGTCGCTTCGAAAGCTGAGCTTCGCCGAAGAAACGTTTTGTTTCTTAGATGTGTGGATGGCATGCGTTTGCACCTGTTCGTCCCAATCTCTCAACCAAGGACGCGAAAGCACACGACCTCACGACAGCACTTCCACGCAGTGTCCACTTCAATGGCGACGAGGGCAATCTTGGCAGCAAGACGTAAAATCCGACCGCACGCGGCGACTACCGAACCAGCGAGTTTTCTATTATAGGTGTATGTATGTAAACGTCGAAATCAGATTCGTTCTACAGCTACCGGTATGACGGAGTCGAGCGCATTCGTTGAGGCATCTAGGAGAGAACTCGGGGCGACTCGCTTCTCGGTAGGACTCGGTTCCGATATATAGTCGCGAGGGAAAAACACCGGAACGACAGAAAGCTTTCAAGACAGTCTACGCCCCCGCCTCATTCATCGAGAAACGGACTCCACCCTTCTGGGAGGCTTGATGAGCTTCATGGATCTCGACGGGGATCTTGAAGGGACCGAACTCCTCAACAGAATGATCTGAGGGCTGGAACACTGGGACGTTGCCCTATTCTCGCGATTTTCGGTCGTCGAGCGAATGAAGCGTCTGATCGACGGAAGAGCGGGCAATCCGTTCAGCTCCATCAGGCTCGGAGCTGTTCAGAATAATCATGCGCTGTCATGGATCGATTTCCTGAATTTCACCTTTTCGGCCGACTCCTCGTAATCGATGGGTTCAATTGATCCTCTTCAGGGGAGAAAATGAGAAAGTGAATCACCGGCACGCGAATCCGGATAGCCACATCGAGGAAACCCCAACTCGAGCGGAAAAAATATTCATCCGTGCTTTGAGAGCTCCTCAGAGATCTACGCTATCAACAGGGAGCCAGCTTCGGCTTATTCCGACAAGTTTCTTCGGCGATCCTCTGGAGTTCGCCCCGCCGGGGGACTCTGTCGAGTTTCACGAAGTCTCGGTGAAGGTTGGATTTGATCCCCTCCTCTAACAGGCACTTCTGGTTGGCCGCATTGGGTTATTCCCCCGGGAGAACTGCTCAGGAAGCGCCTCTTTTCACTCGTTCGTGTTTCGCTCGCTCTCAAAGATCTCCGGGTTAGTCATAGTGACACGGGGTGGAATTAGAGGAACCTGCTCGAATCCGTACCGGAGGTGATTCTCGAGCACTGTGCGCCGCGCCGCAGGGACGCAAGGAACGAGACACTGGTCGCGTACATAACCGCGGTTCGCAGTCAGAAGTGATGGAAGTGTTTCAAAAAAGGGACAAAGCCAATTCGAACTGGTTCCGCGAGGAGACCTTGTGCAATCAGCTAGTTGTGCAAAGTCCCATTTCAATGCTGAGGGTTACAGTTCAACGGTGGGTGGACGCGGCCACTATTCTTCTGTGGATGCCGATCATCAACTGATACATAAAATAATGAGGTTCATAAAAGAGCAAGCGAAGCCTAAGCGGCAATAATGTCGGGTTGATTCAGGTTTTCTCTCTGAGAGTACGGCCGGCGCCTCAGGGAATTCCTCGAGTGTCGAACATGGAAGTCGACTCTTTAGGGCGGCCTCGCCTCTGGCAAACAGCTTTCGTTCCATGACAGATTGACGTAAACCAAACAATCGCTTCACATCAGTTCGAGCCTTTTACGGATCGAGCGGGGTCGTTGCGGGTTGCAGCGGCACGTTTGTATCCAGATCTTCTCTGCCTTCTCCTACTGTGCTGGCACTCAAATCCTTCAAACAGACATCACTGTGCTCATCCTCAAAGGACGACATCACCCTCAGTCGAAGAATCGGAAACGGGGATCATGCGGGAGCATGGCTTCTTAACCGAGAGGACCGATGGGATATTCTGTACTTCTTCCTTCAACAGCGGCATGCACGGCCGGGAGAAAAGGGATTGGGAGCAATCACGCAGCGAGATGCGGTCGTTTCTTCCCTGCGAGCTTCATTTTCCTCAAATGCACAATCGGGAGTATCGAGGGATTGATTTTCTTATAATCCTAGAGCCGCCGACCTCAAGAGTTGCCAATCTGCAGCATCGCAGAGCGACTCGTAGCAGGGCCAGCAAAGCGTACCAGGCCCACTCGGATTCCGTTGATTGAGTGCTTCGGAGGAAGTATGCACCATATTCCCGTAGCCTCGATCGAAATCTATGGATTCGGCCGAAATTCTAGCGAGCCCTTGTGCGGAGAATACTCGAAGAGGAAATCTGATCGGATTCCTCATCAGAGCCGCATAGCTCGTGACTGTAAGCTACAGGAGCGGAGTTTTCAGAAGCAATGCGGAAAGACGCTCAAATCGACTCACCCTCAAAACCATTCTCTGGCCGAGCACAAAAACAACGAGCACTGAGCCGAACGCGCTGAGCACTTGAAAATGTCTTCAAGAGCCACGATCGACGATAGACGTTCGTCTTATCGGTGCAGTGTATCCACAAGACACCGGCGTATTCACGAATGAATCCGTGGGGCGCTCTCGCTCACTCGATCGCCGGTTCCT